ATGTTATTGGAGTTTTAGTGCTCCAGAGCCACCTACTCACCCCTCAGTAGCTGATGGTGTGGAGGGTTGCACGGGTTTATAATCGATTATGTCGATTAGTTGTTGCAGCCCTAGTTTGCACCGATTGGGGAGGATTGCATCACCAGCAGAATGTTGCTCCTACTTGTCTGTGTGGAGCCTCCATCACTCTTCATGTCCCAACACCTCCATCACTTCCCTCTCTCAATGGGGTATTCAGCTGTGTAAAGTGGATCCTTTAATACAATTGTATGTTTTTTTTTTGTGACAATTTCAACCTTTTTCCACAGATCACCTCAGTATATATTTTGTATGTGTATAAATAAATTATATTTAAACTATTTTAATGAATGTGCATATTATGAGGGGCTCCCACCATCCCTGTGCTGAGGTCCTAGGTCTGTACATCTGCTGTGTTCATTGTGTGGGGCTCCCACCATCCCTGTGCTGAGGTCCTGGATCTGTAGACCTGCTTTGCCCATTATGAGGGTTTCCCACCATTCCTGTGATGAGGTTCTGGATCTGTACACCTGCTGTGTTCATTGTGAGGGGCTCCCACCATCCCTTCTTGGCGTGTCTTTACATGCTGCCCGGCTTCCTGATTGGCCGGGAAGCCGGCTCCATGCTCTCTCGCCACAAGTGACGAGGGAGCATGGAGCCGGCTTCCTGATACCGGAAGTATCGGTCTAGGCATCGGAGCATTTGGGCGAGAATGAGTACTCAAATACTCGGCATCGGCACAGATACCAGTATCGGTATCCTGCATCCCTAGTTTGAATGGTGGATAAAGACCCCCGATCAACTTCCAGACAAATCCAAGCTGACCTTCAGGCACAGGGTACAACTGCGTCAGCTCGCACTATATGTCACCATCTGAATGAAAAGGGACGCTATGGTGGTGTACCGAACTCCCCCAGAAATACCAATATCGGTGCATCCCTAATTTGGACAATCCTTCATGGTAATCTTTGATCAATTGTTCTCTTTTGTCCACGTCCAGGGAGATTAGCTCCAGTGCCATGGGCTGTACACTTCCTGACAATGTTGCGGACACAGGGACATGACTATCTCTGGAGATGGACTTGTCACCTGGAGACTGTCCGTGCTTCTCCACAAAAACTTGGAGTGCAATTATTTCTTGCAATTTGGAGGAGGTGCCAATCATTTTGTCCGGTCCGTTTTTGGAGTTTGGCGTGGAATGCGTCAGGTTTTGCTTTTTTTTTTTTTTTGTCATTCCAATCCAAACAAAAGAAATAAACACAAGAATGCCGAAACATTTGTAATGGCAACAATTGTCTGCGGCAAGTGGTGCATTATCCGACAGGCATGCAGGAGTGCCAATATTTTTGGCCATGACTCTAAATACCCATTGCAGGGGTGGCAGTTTGTGTGGAGGCTGGTTAGAGCCTCGCCGTGTGCTGCTGTTGGAGGTTTTGTAATGGGGGAAGATGGCTGGTTGGGGATTTGGGGGGG